AGAATGAAGATTCTCATTCTCAAAGTGACGTATTTCTTAAGTTCCGGATTAATACCTGTAGCAAGCCAGGAAAATATTTGTGGACGATTGATTGTGGATCAACACCTGTAATAAGCCAGGAAATTATCTACATGAAGAGATTGAAGATCAATACCTGTAACATGCCAGAAAAACTATCTTCCTTTCTCAGGCCAGAGATCAACACCTGAAACTAGCCAGGACAGCATCTCCTTAACCAACCTTTCTTAAGTTCCAGATTAATACCTGTAGCAAGCCAGGAAAAATATTTGTAGACGACCGATTGTGGATTAATACCTGTAACAAGCCAGGAAATTATCTGCATGAAGAGATTGAAGAGTAATACTTGAAACAAGCCAGGAAAACTATCTTCCTTTCTCAGGTCAGGGATCAACACCTGAAACTAGCCAGGACAAGATCTCCTTGACCAACCTTTCTTAAGTTCCAGATTAATACTTGAAACAAGCCAGGAAAAATATCTGTGGACGACCGATTGTGGATTAATACCTGTAACAAGCCAGGAAATTATCTGCATGAAGAGATTGAAGAGTAATACCTGAAACAAGCCAGGAAAACTATCTTCCTTTCTCAGGTCAGAGATCAACACCTGAAACTAGCCAGGACAGCATCTCCTTGACCAACCTTTCTTAAGTTCCAGATTAATACCTGAAACAAGCCAGGAAAAATATCTGTGGACGACCGATTGTGGATTAATACCTGTAACAAGCCAGGAAATTATCTACATGAAGAGATTGAAGATCAATACCTCAAACAAGCCAGGAAAACTATCTTTCTTTCTCAGGTCAGAGATCAACACCTGAAACCATCCAGGACAGCTATCTCACCGACCAACCTTTTCAATACCTGCATCAATCAAAAGATTCTTGCAATCCCCAGCCAGAGAGCCTTACAGAATCTAATTCCCCTCAGAGTCAAGTTTCAAGATCCCCAGCGAAGCTAAAACTTCCAACTATCAATCCCCAAGCAGAATGAAGACTCTCATTCTCAGTTCCTCACAGAATATTCGAATATTCTCCAGTGAAGATCTCCTCAAGACAGGAATCCCCAGTAGATTGGCATACAACCCAAGCCCCTGATTCCCCAACAGCGGTCCCAGGATTTCTCACTTTCAACAATCAAAAGATTCTTGCCTTCCCCAGTACAGTCTGAAAAGTTTCCCCAGGAAAGTTGAATCAAAATAGGGCTTGGTGATGTGTGTGATACAAGGGTTTAAAAATCAGTTGTAGCTAAGCCCAGATCAAAATTCAACATTTGAGTCCAAATGCACTAAGCTAATATTATTCCAATTGAAATTCTGGCAGCAGATACTCAATGTCACAGTGAATGTTATGACACCGTATCTGACTTTCTATAAGACAGTAAATCAAAAACAGTAAAGAACACAGTCAATTGTTTACCCAGTTCAGTGTGAAACAACACCTACTCTGGGGGCTACCAAGCCAGGGAGGAAATTCACTATAAGAGATATTAATTCAGGAATAAACCAACTCGTTTATCTCCTTCACTTAAGACCTACCCAATGCAACTTCAATCTAAGTTCAACTTAAACCTGAGTTCCTACTCACTCCCCCTCAATCACAGCAGTGATACTAAACAATTGACTAATGAAATAATGAAGACACTCTTCAGAACATACACTTGATTATGCTTCACAGCTTTTAATCAAGTAACACAAACACTCGTGCTTCAAAGCTTTGAGTGATAAATAAACCTAACTTGACCTTGCTTCAAAGCTTTAATCAAGTGACACAAACACTCGTTCTTCAAAGCTTTGAGTGATACACCACCCTTACAATCAAAACCTACTCCAAGTCACTTATCACAATGATACTTGCTTGGATTACAGTAGTTAAAACTATACAGCCCCTAGTTGATCTTCTGTCAAAAAGTTGATTTTCCCAACAGCCTTCTTGTTGTATATAAATGCAGTTGTTTCTTCAGTTAGGGCTTCCACGAAAAGCTAGGGTTAATTAGGGTTAACCTCAAGACTTGGTCACATGGCTTTATCAACCAGATTAGGGTTGAGCTAAGTTAACCTAAAGTCCACGTGAGATTCTGTTCTGGACTGTATGAACCAAATTCCTGAAAAATCTCAGAATTAACCAAACTGCATAACTGTTAGATCAGTACAGGATGTCTTAACACTGGTTATGACAACAGGAATCCTGTTTACTGATTTTGGTAGAAGTAATAAATGTGATCATTGCAAAATGCTCAGATACACACTCATAAAGAGCAGCTACTGTATGCCATTCTTTTTCTGCATAAAGTACCTAATAACTCAGAATGTTATGACATCAGTCATGACATTCACACACCAGGTTTTACCAAAAATATATGCCAATAACTAAACACTTACACCAATTACTCACTTTATTATTCATATGTGACAAATAAATTCATGTGAACCAACATCAATTGGTCCCGTTCAATTAAATGAACTACAAGACAAAACACATCTTGAGCCAATCAAAATTCAACACCTATTTTCATATTATCCAAATAAAACAAATAATGAAAATTTAAAATTGATGTGGAAAATGAAATAAACTCATAGCCAATGGGATGATTGCCATGCTCATGGCATAGTCAAACATCCAAACATTTCAGGTGCCGGAGCTAGGGCTCCAGTCCTATTCTACGGCTGCCTCCTCGCCGGAGAGAGCCAAACCCTAACAGAAATTTACCAGACTGGTACTGCTCCACTCGTTTCACATGTAGAGTTCAATCTAATTCTAATTTTCAATGAATCACATACAAACCTTGTGAAATCTCAAGAACATTCAAGATCTAAAAATTGCAAACATCACACACATGGCTATTCAATCCATTTTTGAGCCTAGCTCCAACCTCTGCATAAGCAGAGCATCCAGATGCAATGAATGGATCATATTCATGGCAAAGCTAGCATGATGAGAGAAGGTTTGATGACTCACCTGTTTGAAGATTCTCTTAAGCTGTGAAAGAAAACTCTATAGCCTTCCTTAGGACTTTGATGATGAAGATGAGCGCTCAAGAAGCTTTACTCCACTGAGAAATAAACTTAGATTCTTGTTTGAATCTTTGAAGACGAACATGAAGTGTAATTGTGGCTGAAGAAGCAAAAACTTTTGAATATGGCCTCAACTCTGAGAATCAAGAGAGAGAGAGAGGAGAGAGAGAGAGAGAGAGAGAGAGAGAGAGAGGAGAGAGAGGAGAGAGAGAGAGAGAGGAGAGAGAGATGAGAGAGAGAGAGAGAGAGAGAGAGAGAGAGAGAGAGAGGAGAGAGAGGAGAGAGAGAGAGAGGAGAGAGAGAGAGAGAATGAGAGAGAGAGGGGGAGAGAAAGTAGAAAGATGATGAATGGATCCAAGATGACTTACTTTGCAAG